ATCTCAGTAAAGTCTACTAATGTGGAAAAGGAATCTGAGGGGAATTTCCTGGAGATATTTCAGGGGCCAAGTTTGAAGGCTTTTATAATTGGAGGTGGTTTGGTTCTCTTTCAACAGGTATTTCTCATTTTTTCTGTCACAGACAGTTTACAGTTATTTTCTTTTAAGTTGTATTATGCTCCTTTTTTTTATTATTTTTTATTTTTTATGGTTCTTCTAACAAACTAGTAATGGAGATAGTACGTGAAACATTTAGGAATATAATGTTAAGGAGCTGATTTACCACCTGCTTGTGACAGATAACTGGACAACCAAGTGTCCTGTATCATGCAGGTCCTATTCTACAGGTACCTGATGCATTATGGTCAATTTATTTATTTATTTTTTGTCTTTTGAAAAATGAATATCTTATGTAATTTACTAATTTCCAATCCATTATCCTAACCATTTAATGACTTAATGTATTATTGTTCGGAAAGAGTACTGGGTTCTCTGCAGCTGCTGATGCTACCTTAGTTTCTACAATAATTGGTTTGTTCAAGGTATGCCTTGCACACACCAGAACTGATTGCTTGTTGTGCTCTCCTCTCTCTTCTGGTGTTGGTTAACTGTTTTTGATCCTGCAGCTGCTGATGACAAGGATAGCTGTTGCAAAAGTTGCTGACCTTGGAAGTCGGCCTCTGCTGAATGGAGGTGTCAGTGGGATTGTATGCATATCATCCTCTTCATTTCTGTTTTGATCTTATGCTTAATGTTAGTGGGTTAGCATTACTAAAAGTGGTTTTATTTGGTTTTCTTTACTTAACTTCACACTGCAGGCCCTTTCCTTGCTTCTGCTTGCTGCTTATTACAAATTTCTTGGAGGATTCCCTCTTGTTGCGGTTGCAGCCCTGCTTCTCTATGTGGGATGCTACCAGGCTAGTATTCTTTCTTTTTTGTTGACAGCTCTACTTTTTTTCATCCATGGCTTGTTTTGACTTGGAACACTTATAGAATTATTATTTTGAATTTTTCATTTTTCATGTCTGAGATTCCTAATACAGAGAACAGTATAAGTTTGTAAATAGCAAGAATGCAAATAAAGAATGCATCAAGAAAGAGGCCTAGGATCCTCGTCCAATGTTTTTGTTGACCAAAAGTCTTTGTTGTAATTTAACTGATTCTTCTTCCTATAAACAACCTTTTAGATATCATTTGGGCCTATCAGTTGGCTAATGGTGTAAGAGATTTTCCCATTTCGAACAAGAGGCAAAGGGATTAGTCTGGCAATCCTGACTAACTTTGGCTCAAATGCTATTGTGACCCTTGCATTCTCACCGTTGAGGGTATTTGTTAAATTTCCATTAATCTGGATTGTCATTGTTAACTATTTGTACACTTACACCATGAACTGGATCAATATCTTCTGATTCTGCAGGAGCTAATTGGAGCAGACAACCTTTTTCTTCTTTTTGGTGCTATTGCTTTGTCATCACTCTTGTTCATAGCATTATATGTCCCAGAGACTAAAGGACTGAGTTTGGAAGAGATCGAATCCAAAATCCTGAATTAAAAGCACAGAATTTCTGAAACTGTCATATGAGCTTCAATGTAAATCAAAATTATTTCTCCAGGAATTATTCGTATCTAGGTGAATAGCATTGGGAGGTTATGTATTGTAAACCCCATATTCTGGTATTTGTTATGACACTTTTTAGATGAAAATTCCTTAGAAAATGTAAATTAAAGTGGTGGATAATGGCCTTTAAGCTTATCTATAAGCAATTTACTGTCTTGATAGACGTTATTGTGTTCAATTGTGAACATCTAATTGTCACTATGCTCTAATCTATTCTGTTAACAGGAAACCGGGAGGCATAAGAAATTCATGTCTGTAAATGTGGGCATTTCAAAAATAATAATAATAATAATAATTTTATTGCTAACAATTTTATTACTAACTACAAGAAGTTGAAACTGTCAAAAACATCCTTATAATGCTGAAAAACTGAAACACCTTTCAACCGCTGAAGTTCAAAGATTTAACGCCCATTGTTGAGGATTGAGTCAGTGGTGGCAAGGGAATTAGAAGAAGGAAATGACATTATGAAATCAGAAAATGCTTCATTGTTTGACGTGGCCATACCATTTTCAATGTTCTCTGGTGAAAAATCCAGCAAACTGGTATTCCCATTGAGGCACTGGAGCACTTGCCTCATGCTAGGCCTGGCTGATGGCTGTGACTGTGAACATAGCAGTCCCAGTTTCAGAACCAACTCCATTTCCTCCACTGGAAAATTCCCTTCCAATCTTGGATCACAAGCATCAAAAATAGCTCCTCTTTTCCAGCATTTTGTGATCCACTCAATCAAGAATACTTCTTCAGGCTGTCTCCATTGCTCTATAGGCCTCCTTCCGCAGGCTACTTCAAGCAGAAATGCCCCGAAAGCAAACACATCAGTGCTAGTACTTGCCATCCCGGTTCTGGTAAGCTCTGGAGCAAGATATCCTATAGTTCCCACCAGGTTAGTAGTCCCTGGCTTCGCACCATGATCATGCAGTCTAGCTAGTCCAAAATCTCCCAATCTTCCATTTAGATTTGAATCCAACAGAACATTGCTAGCTTTAACATCTCTGTGTAGAACAACCTGCTCCCATTCTTCATGAAGGTAAAGCAAGGCAGA